GACAGCGAGCAGCTGGGCCGCAGCACCTGGGCCTTCCTGCACACCATGGCCGCGTACTACCCCGAACAGCCCAGCGGTGCCCAGCAGAAGGAGATGAGGGAGTTCATCAACCTCTTCTCCAAGTTCTACCCCTGCGAGCACTGCGCTGAGGATCTGAGGGAAAGGTGAGTTGCTCCCTTGGGGTTTTTTTTGGTGGCTGGCGCCGAAGGGGCCGCCGCAGCAGCTATTTGCATGTCAGCAGCCCTTCCTGCCGCGCTCGGGGTTTGTAGCTACCTAGATGGGTTTCTTCCGTTATTGCATAAATCAGAGATACAGTTACTCAGAAAACAAATACCTTTTATCGTGCTGTTAGGTTGTGTGCTGCCTTCGAGGCCTCCCTGAGGCAATTTCAGGATTTTCTGGTTCAAACTGGACTTGTGCTTGCTTGTGGAATTGGACTGGGGCTTGAAATAATTTGGCTTTCAGGAGGCAAATGTTGTTCTACCCTGAGAAAATACCCTTTAATGGTAACCTCAGCAGTGGAGGCAAAGATTCAAATGGGCTGTGATATTTGATGAATTTTTCTACTTCTGTTACTGTCAGTTTGTTTCTTGAAAGTTTCAACTCCTCCTCTGTGAATGATGAACGCAGAAAAAAAAAGTTTGAGACCTAATTATTGACTTAGCAGGCGTCACATGGCAAAATAACCGCTCAGGTTTCTTCTTTTTTTTTTTTTTTTTTTTAATGGAGTGTTTTGTTGAACTCGAGTACTTCTTGCTTTTTATCATAGATTTTTGACTGTGACTGTTTGACTCCTGTGTCTTTTCCAGTTGACAAGACTAGGCAGTGAATGAAACCAAGCCAGTTGCAGCCATCAGTATTTATAGGGGAGGTTTGGCCTCCGATAATTACTGATCTTGGGTGCTCTGCTCTGGGTTCTCTTTTGGATTCAGCTTGCAGAAGCAGAAAAGACGACTCTGTGCTATGTGCCTGCTTTGGGTATTGAAGCTGGTGACTGTAAAGAAGTAACATTTGTTTCCTCTTCCCTGTTTGCAGATTACGTACAAATCAGCCTGATACTAGCAACAGAAATAACTTCTCGCAGTGGTTGTGTCTTCTTCATAATGAAGTGAACAGGAAACTGGGGAAATCTGAATTTGACTGCTCTCGTGTGGATGAGCGCTGGCGAGATGGCTGGAAAGATGGTAGTTGTGATTAACCCGTAGAGACTGCTCAGAAATGTAACAGAGCCATTCAGTGTGGTGTCAGGTTGCTGCAGGGAGATGTGCGAGTCGATAACCGTGTGTTTGCGTGCTTGTGTGTGTGACTGATACGGCTTGTGGAAATAAAGGTAAACCAAATTGAAAAGTAAACTTGAAAAGCTTATCCTAATAGTATTTTGATAAATGATTACATAAATGTATTACCTGAGGGATTGAGGCCTTACGTTTGACACAGGAATTGCCAGAACCTGTGAAATGAAGTCACTGACAAACTTGTGGAGACTTTTTCATTATGACATTTCCTTATTTTAGGGGCATTTGCTTATTTCTGTGACTGGAATTCCTTTTCCCTGAACACAGTTGTAGAGGGCTGCCAGCATTATCCTGATGTTTTAGAAAATGCATCTGATTAATTGTAATTTTAATTGCTGTTGTTCTGATAGAAAAAACTTATGCTGCCTTTGGTGCCATGTCTGTACCCTTGGATCTCTTTTTCCCAGATCTCTGATGCTTGTCGTTAAACTTCCATCCAGTTCCTTTGGTAAAAGGGCTGAAGGCAGGTGGATTTAATTTAAATACTAAAATCATGGAACCCAGATCTCTCATTTTATTTTTGTGTTTCAACTTATCATGTAAGAGGACGTTGTAGAAAGGGAAACTAAAGCAGGACAAAAAAAAAACCTTATCTGATGAATGGAACGAAATACCAGCTGGGTGAAATTCAAATGTTTTAAACTGATTGCTACTTTTCTTTGTATCCAGAAGCGGTATGATGATAAGTTCTACTGAACTGCTTTCTCTTAAAGCAGATAACCTCTACATCACTGCTGTGGACTTTTGTCAGTCTTGAAAATAGCTCAAGACTGATATCTGTAACGAAGCATATTCAGCTTTGTTTAGCATTCAGTATTTCTGAGATGTCACTTATGTTTTGAAATCCTTGATTGGTGCTTGCTGACCTGGTTGATATTCTGGTGTCATCCCCTAGCTAAAAATCTCTCTAGAACAAAAGGACGTTACAAGCCCTCTGCAGTATTTTCAGTGCTGCTTACGACTGCAAAGTCAGCTTTATGTAGTATTTGTTGCACAGAGGACTCAAAGGAGTCCCTAGGGTAGGTTCCCTCTGTAGAAGCTGGTCAGAATCCATGCTATGTGTGTTTTTCCTAGGTCAGCTATACTGCATCGATGTACTGATACATAAATGTGAATTTATTTTTCAACTGAAATAGCAGCATAAATTATTTACACCACAATGCATATAAAGACATGTCTCTAAAAAGAGACAACTTACAAAAAAAAGTCAAAATAATTTCAATTTCTTAAAGTAGATAGCGATATCACGCCCTTATCGCCTTCCTGGCTGTGAAGAGTTTGCAGGAGTTTGCACCGACCGTGTCAATAG